TGCGGGCAAGGCGGTCACGGCCGGCACTTGCCGGTCGTCCGGCAATTACTCTCGACCAAATCAACTTCAAACAACATGATCTGACATGACATGCATATGACTACCGAAATAACTTGAAAACATGAATTTGTGCTTAATGAACTGAACATGACCGCGGCGGACGCACCGTGCGCCGCCGACGGTGTTAAGCCGTTTCACGACCGACTTGACTTTTCTCTCGGCAAATCATACATAACTGAACATAAAACATGATTTACTGAACAAATGGACATGAAATACTCGAAGGACTGAACTTGATATACTTACTAAACACGAGCGGCCGGTGGCACGCGCTACGTGCGTGGCCACTTCCCTCGGCCAAACAACACTTAAACATGAAAGTTCTTTCGAGCAATACTGAATAACTGATCATAATATATCATAAGGAAGCTGATGAAATTCTTATTGCTCGAGAGATATTAACCTAAAACATAGTCACACTTGCGATGCACTCGCACGGCGGACGGCTTAAAGCCACGCCATGAACATGAAAGTTCGAAATAACATGACTTAACATGAACACTCAAGGTATACGGAGTTACCTCTTCGAACAACTAACTGAACGCACCAACTGATCGGAACAATCGGCTTCCGTGCGTGGTGTGCGACGCGTGCTTGCTTGCGATGCAACTAGCCATGCGTGTGTGCTGAGCTTACGGTGTCGTGCTGATTGCCGTGGAGTACTCCTTAGAATTCTCACAACCCTCAACTTCCCTCACTAGTGAATGTATATATATATGACTTAGTTATATGTGGAAGAAATATGGGAAAAATTTCCGCAAATACTCATCTATATATACACACGGCGCCGAGAGAAGAATAATACAAGACCTTGGTGGCCATCTATTATTAATGACACTTGTAATAACACTAAGTAGTCTTAAGGTGACTAATCACCTCATAATCTCTCCTAATGCCACGTAAAAGTGCTTACAATTGAGGAAATAATTTCCTTACTTTGTGGAGAAATTATGTACGGCATTAGAGAATTAATTGGACCATTCCATACGGCCTTAGTGCTTTAATGTGATTAATTGCTAATTAATCTCTAATTATGTTTAATTATTTAATTAAACATAATGCTTAACTTCCAAAATTATTCCGAACGTAAGCGGTACGT